GGGGGGGGGGCAACGTACAGAGAGCAAAACAATGTCTGCACTGCTGACCGTGAAGAGGAAGCTGTGATCGATGCTGAGGATGCCGCACACGCGGAACGGCTCCGTCTCGCGGCTCAAGTGGAGGAGGTGGCTGACGCGCTGCCTTTCCCGGATCGGCCACGCGGTCGTGTCCAGAGACCCGATCACCGCCTCGGTCATCTTCGTCTGTGGGGGAGGGGGGGGGGAGACCACAGCATCACTGCACCGCGCCGAAGAGCGTCCCTTATGCATGCATGGCCATCCTACGCACCTCCCTGTAGAGCCAGCCGGCGGTGAGGGCCAGCGAGGCCACCCGGGCCAGGTAGATGGAGACGTGGATGAGCTTGACGTGGCGCACGATGGGCTGCGTCTCGTCCCGGACGATGAGCGAGAAGGCCGTGATGAGGCCGATGGTGATGTGCAGCAGGCTGTAGAGCAGGGGCAGCCCGAGCATGCAGTGGCCGAGGAGGCCACCAACCTGCGGGAGGGAGAGTGCAGAGCAGAGTTTAAACCCGGGGGCTTCAGGGGGCGCGGGGGTCAGCCTGGTGAGGACACCTGCCTGCTCCACAGTGGACTCCCAGCGGTTGGCCAGTGACTGCAGCAGCCCGCGCTGCACCGCCGGGTCGAGGGACGCGTCCTGCTGCGGCATCCAGGACGCCGACGTGGAGGGCGCCCCCGGCGACGCGGAGGGGTCGGTCTTGAGGGAGCCGAGGCGCTGGTTCACGGCCTGTATCTTGAGGGCGGCCAGCGTGAGCACGAGCGCCACCAGGCGGTCCATGATGAGCGCGGAGCAGGCGGACCACGCGGAGGCCACCGAGTAGCAGATGTAGTCCACCCGGTGCTGCAGGATGGTCACGTGGAAGAGCGCCTGGCCGGCCGCGTGCGCGGCGTACATCAGGACGGTGAAGGCCAGGAAGGAGCGCGGCGCGCGCACGGGGCCGGCCAGCACGCGGCCGAGGCTGGGCGCGAAGCGGTGCAGGTTGCACCAGGTCGCCAGCAGGATGATGGGCGGCTGCAGGGTCTCGAGCAGGTTCTCGACGAGGTAGGCGTGCAGCGCCAGGTGGAAGCCGCTCTCGAGCACGTCCAGGGTGTGGTGCAGGTACACGCGCCACGCCATGTAATTGGCCCAGCACGCCACCGCGAGCGCCGCCACCGCCTGCGAGCCCTCCAGCCTGTACCACCCCGCGTACCCGAGAGAGGGGGTGCAAATATCATAGCTCCCTCCGAAGGTTGAGGACCACCCAAGAAACTTACATGGACCCCTAGAAGTGAAAACATCATGTGCTCCCGCTCCGCTCGGTAGTCTAGAACATTCGGAGGGGTGGCAATGTTTGTACCCCTCCCCCTCCTTTTCCATGTGCACGACGCCTACCTGGAGCGAGCGCAGTCTGCCGGGCGGCGGCGGGAGGATGGCAGCGGCCTGCGCGGCCCGCAGCACCGGGCGCAGCATCCAGCGCACAAGCGGCGCCCTGCACCGAGGGCACTAGTGGTCACTCATCCCGCGCCCCTCAGCTCCGCGACCTCCGGCTCGCACCTCCCCCGACCGCGCACCTGGCCTCGTTGTAGGCCTCCCACAGCGGGTCGCTGCGCTCGCAGTGGGCCGAGAGGAAGCACAGCGGCCGACACAGCCGCCCCCTCAGCCTGCCGGGCTGCGGGAGCATGGCGCCGTGCAGGTAGGCCGCCGGCCGACACCGGAGCGCGCCGGGACTGGCCGCCCTGCAGGGGCTCTGGTCGCCTCGCAGGTAGGC